ATGCGGTTGTCAGTGACAGAGAGTTGGGCTTATTGACTCCTATTAGGAGGCATTTTTCCCAATCTGCCCACTTACTCTACACGTGGCACATCAACAAGGATGTGGAAAACAAAGTGTACACCTTGTTTGGGAAAGATAAAAATTTATCTGAGAGGTTCTTGCGCGGTCGGTGGAAGTCGATTATAGATGCCAGTACGTCGGATGAGTATGACACTGCCGTAGCTTAATTGAATGCAAAATACGGGAATGATTCAAAAGTGGTACAATATCTCGACCAGACGTGGCTATGCCAAAAGGAGAAGTTTGTGAAAGCCTGGACGAACCAAGTAACACATTTTGGCAACACAACTACCTGTAGGGTGGAAAGTGTCCACTCTGTGTTGAAGCAGTGGCTTCGCACGTCGACTGGCGCGCTAGATACAGTGTGGCATAAGATTGATAAGGAGATCGAGTCTCAATTGACTGAAATCAGGTACATTCCTCAAATATATTATATATAAGTATAATATATTATATTATATAAGTATATTATAATTTGTTTTGTAATGTATTAACAGGACAACACTTGAGTCTTCTAGACTTAGGAAGAGTAAGGCATATACGGGATTGACTTTCGCGTGCTTGATATTGAGAGTCTCGCATTACTGTATGAATTTATTGAACGATGAGCTAACAAGGATGCGAGACTTGAGCCATGAAGTTTACTGGCGCTGCGGCTGTGTATTGCCTACCAGACATGGAATTCCTTGTGCATGTACGCTTCATACAGCACATGATTCTAAAATGGCGATTGGTATTGACATGATCCACGAGTTCTGGAAGACACTATAGATGTTATAACCAGGTAATTTGTGGTTAATGTTTATTTATAATTTTCTACTTTGTGATTCATTTTAAATTACACATTAAAGTATATTACTTTAAAAAAAAAAACAAGGTGCAGGCAGGTCACACGACTCGTGTGCCTAGTGACACGGGTCGTGTTATCATCACACGACTCGTGTCACAAGGTCACACGAGTCGTGTGACTACTGAGGAGAATGGATCAAAAGCCACGGGGTTTTCACACGACTCATGTGCCCAGTGACACGGGTCGTGTGACACTCACACGACTCGTGTCATCCGGTCACACGAGTCGTGTGCTTACTCAAGAGAAATGTTTAAAAGCTACGGGGTTTTCACATGACTCGTGTGACTTGTGACACGGGTCGTGTGAGCTCACACGACTCGTGTCACTTTTTCACACGAGTCGTGTGACTAGTGACTCTCTGAAAATCTGGTTAATGTTTATTTATAATTTTCTACTTTCTGATTCATTTTAAATTACACATTAAAGTATATTACTTTGTTTAATTGTTTCAATTTTTGGATCGTATACTTTTAGGGACAAATCACCAGAGCCAGCATAATCAGGGTGCCTGGACAGATGTTGAGTTTTTTCGGACGCTTGCCAAAGAGGTTGAAGCGAGCGATCCTGCGACGATGCGGTACTGCAATAACCTCCTTTACGGTCAGCTTTACCCGGACCAACAAGCACATGGAGAACCGGAGGTTAAGAAAAATACGCGAGGTCGTCCCAAAAAAACTGATTCTACTAAGCGTGAAGCATCGCGATGGGAGTATAGGGATAATTCTCAAGGTCGTACAAGCAATTCTTCGGGTGGACGCACTTCTTCGCGTGGACGCACATCTTCGCGTGGACGCACTCCTTCGCGTGGACGCACTTCTTCGTGTGGACCAGAACCAGCCAATCTTCTGAACCGTCATAAGAGGCACACCAAGGTGACATTTATTT